TTTTATAAAACGATATCTCGAGTTTTATAAAACGATCTTTCGAGTTTTATAAAACGACCTTTCGAGTTTTATAAAACGATATCTCGAGTTTTATAAAACGATCTTCGAGTTTTATAAAATGATTCTCGAGATTCATAAAACTGTTGCGTTTATGTGTTTGCGGAGAATTTTGGCTATTGATTCCGTCGTACCGATTTTGTCCCCAACAATTCTCGAACTTTATAAAACGATATCTCGAGTTTTATAAAGCGATTCTCGAGCTTTATAAAACTGTTCTTTTTGTATTCTTGCGGAAAGTTTTGGCTATTAATTCCGTCGTACCGATTTTGACCCCAACATTTGTCGCGATCAAAAGCTTACTTTTCACATGTGACTGTTTTTTCTAGAATACCAAAGTGAACCCTTTAAGTTTCTTAAAGTCCTACCTTTGGTCCTCTAGATAAACTGATTATTCTACAACAATCACACATCATCTTCAAAACCAAACTTCTTTGAATTTAAATACATCAACATTTACCAACAACAATGTTTAATAGATATCTAAATATTCTATGTGTTATGAAGAAATTTTTGTTTTCACCAACAAAATACATATTCTATGTATATAGATTGTGCTACCCAAACATAATTATGTATCTACATGAACATGTGTTACAAGAAAAATACTGAATGAATCATTGAGCCTCTAAAACATTTTTAGATAAATTGTGTCATTCGTCTTCAGCAACCTTCAATAGCCTATTGCAAAAGTTGTTTCGTTTATCAAAATGTTATCAGTTTTGTGTTGAACTATTATCCTAAATATTTGAAACAAAATGGATTAGTATTTTGTCATCTAAATCTGGAAAAAATGAGCTCAAAACATTTCGGTAACTTTTTGCCAAAATTAAAAAAAAAAAAAAAACACGAACACTTCAAATAAATTATTGACAGAGGTTTACATGTTCATTGGACATCCACGAAAAATACATTTGGCCAACATCAACATTCCACAAAGCAACCTGAACAAATTACGTAAATAAAAACCTAGACTTAAAGGACGACCACGCTTATATCACACCACACACAAAGTCACAAACGACAATTTTTTTTTTAAATGAGACAAAGTCTTAATTTCAAAAGAAAAAAAAAAGACACAATGTCTTCTTATGAAAGAGAAGACAAATCTCACACTTTACTGTTGTCTTCCTACTTCATATGTCGTCGATGGAGAAGACTTGACCGGAAATATTCTGTTACCACTCTTTCCAGAGGCAGCGGACAAAGAAACTCTGTCTCCCTCTCCAGCTTCTATGCCGGCATCTCTCTCCTTCTCTAGTCGCTTCTTCATCATCTTCTCCTTCTGCTTCTTCTGCATGACTTGTAGTTGTGCATAGTTTGCTCCAATTGACGACATTTTCTTATTATGTTAATTATACTAATTAATACAAAAGATGAATTAAGTGTGGCGAAAAGGATAAGTAAAGGATGAGTGTGGTTATGAACTAATGATGGAGAGAAATGTCGCTATTTATAGAGAAACGACTCATGCTTTATGACCGTTTTGTTATCATTCCATTGTCATCATTATGCTTCTCCATGCTCATTCACTTTATTTTCCTTTCTTTAATTGATTAATTATCTGACATGGAGAATAGCTAGTTGAAAGAAAACTATTCCAAATTTGTTACAAACAAATTATTCCAATTATATATATAACATTACTTAGTGCCATGATTAATACCATTGTATAGGTATATTTCTTACAAGTGTTTCAAAAGGGTATATTTCTTACAAAATTTAATTACTAAAATTAAAATTCAGAGTCTAATATTTTTTTGGGTCTAACGGAAGCCTTATGCGCGATAAAAATGTAAAAGTTTTTGACGTCAAAAATTATATATAAGACATCATCCCTCTGTTTCAATAAGATTCATATTCTAGAAAAAATATTTCTTTCAAAAAGATATATTTTTTTTTATTTTCAATGTTTTAATTAGTGATCAATTTTAAAAAATTTAATTGTGTTTATCAAAATTATATTGGTTAAAAATTAAGAGAAAATGTTAGTTATAAAAAATGATATATTGGTAGTCAAAATTTTATATATTTTTTTAATATGTGTAACAAAACCTAAAACATACAACTTTTCAAAACAGATGGAATGTCATTTTAGAGATTTCCTTCATTTCTTTTAGTGTAAGTATAATATTTGGTGTTTACATGATAGTAATGATTTATAACACACCTAGCTCCACGTGTTTAAAGCGCATTAGGCTGTCTCATGAATTTGTCAACATTTTCTTATATTGTTAAAGTGAAGGAGTTGACAAATTTTTTTTTATCAAAAATGGCTTTCATCTTGGACAAAAGAGCACCGTTACCAAAACTTCAAGGACATGGTAGCAACATTAATAAAAAAATTATTAAGCACAAGTTGGTTACCCTTAAAAACAAAATTATATTTGTAGTCATCTATGATAATGTTTTATGCACTTAAACCTCAGTTACAATAGAAATCAAGAACATGGTGGCATTAATCAAAATTATTAAGCCACAAGTTGGTTTATGCTTTTCAAAAGAAAACAAAATAGTAGTATATATTTAGTCGTTTATGTAATGTATCTATTCGTGAGTGAGAGAAACAATGCATCGAGTTTAACAATTACATAACATTAGTTAGCTTGACTAACAGAGTTATCTAACTACAGTAAAAACATTATATTAATAAGATCAAACTAGAAGGGATTATCTAAAATGGTGGCCTTCGCTAGCTTTAAGGTCGGCTCTTAAGACATTATGCAATTGCAACCATGTGATAAATATTAATAATGTTGAGCCTTGCATTAGTATTAGTTATTAACTTATTATTATGCTAATCAGACTGGTCATTATTCGTTTAAAAAATCACCGACCATTGAATGTCTGAGTCAGACCAACCGGACTATATATTGGATACCTATGAGCCAAATGTATCATATATAATTTGGTTTGGAATCACAATACTAGTTGTTTTTGTATATCGAAACAACTACTTGTAATATTTTCTTTGGAATCACATAGCTAGTCTTTTTAACCTATACTAATCCACAAACCATTGCAAGGGGAGTATAGATGTTTATAAGATTTTTATTAATTTTCTTAAATATATATATATATATATATATATATATATATATATTTAAAACAAAAAAACAAAAATTGGTTTAAGACCAATGTTCTATTGCATGAAATTTTAGGGGAGCTTAGATAACTTGCATCAAGATAGTCAAGAACCTGTTAAGGATCTTGTGGTTAACTGATAGCGAGGCGAACTTGGAATTTGGACCTTTGCTTATATAATAGCGTGTTTAGAGTTAACTTCACTCTAATTCACATTTCTTCTCTTAAAATAGAAATTTCTAGTTTTTTCTTTATATTTAGGGGAAGAAATATAGCTAGTAATCTTTGGTTTTATTTTATTTTTTGAAGATTGATATTATAGAAAAATACATTGGAAGAAACATCATCTTTATTATAGAGATTCTTTATTTTAGAGGAAAATATAACAAAATACGTTGGAAATTTAGAGATAAATCTGAATTTCTTTATAGACCCGAGATATTCACGTGCTAATAAAAAGAAAAGATAATCAAGAACTTAGTGGTCGTTGCATGAATAGATAGAACTTTCTATCCGGTATATATGGCCAAACCGAATACTAATGCAGTATGAAGATAATTTGATGTTCATTAAGGCGTGTAGACATGAACTCACAGTGAAACTTATGTTGCGTTGTTTTTTCTTTTGTTTTCTCTTAAAACTTATGTTGCGTTGTTGATGGAACAAACTGCAAGTTATAGATTACGAGGACTTTAAATCGACCAAGAGTGAGATTAGAGTGTTCCATATCCATGTCAATAACTATAATGATATGTTCATATATTGATAGAACTCATTTGCTTGTTCGGTTAACATATCCTTTATTAGGGGTGTACACTTTATCCGATATCCGAACTCGTACCCGAATCCAACCCGAAATATCTGAACCGAAGTAGCAAAATATCCAAACGGGTATTGAGTTACGAGAGTTTGGATATCCAAACCCGAACGGGTAATACCCGAACCCGAACGGGTATCCGAAGATAACCAAACATATGTATATACACCATTTTGTTCCTAGTTTATTTGTCGCATTTTATTAAAAATATTTATATTAATGTTATATATAGTTTAAGATCAGATAATATACATAATTGTAAAAAAAAATTGATTTGTTACTCATTTAAAATGCATATTAAGCTTCTTATTTTATATTTTAAACAAAATTTGCATCTAAAATTCGAAAATAACAACCAAAATAATGATTCTTATTTTCAAATAATTTATTTTCAAAATTATTAATCGTCTAACTTATTTAACATTTTAAAAACAGTTAAGTTAATAGTTAAATTTTAAATACATGAAACTTAAGTAATAAAGAGTTTGAAATTTTTTTGGATCACTGGGTTTATTTTGGATTTATTTAAGTAATAAATAGTTAAGTTAATAAAACTCGAATCGGATTTATTTTGGATCACTGGGTTAACCGGTTCAACCGCGATTCCGGGTCGAATTTCAAAACATTGCCTTTAACAAAAACCCCAAAATCCTATATATAGAATATAGTGCTTGAACAATAAATAACAAATAAGAAGTTTCGGCACTGGGTACAAAATAAGAGAAGCTTGAGACAATAATGGACCAATTATTTTACAAATCCTCATTAGTCAATATTACAAACCTAATCGCTTTGGTTGCTATAGACAGCTAAAAATATATCTACAACTAAAAATATACTCTAAGAGCATCTCCAACCCCACTCCATAATTTATTGCAAAATGGAGTGGGAAATGGAGTAATGAACAAACAAAAAAGTGATTACTCTATAAATGGAGTAATGATTTTTTTGTTTGTTCACTACTCAATTTCCCACTCCATTTTGCAGTAAAATTATGGAGTGGGGTTGGAGATGCTCTAAGGCAATAATGGGTTGACTGAAAGAAATTTTTACAGTAATATTTTTGCATGTAAATTTTTTTTGTAACTACAGCAAATTTAACTGTAAGAATTAGATGTGAAAAATAACAAAAATTGAAAGATATCTTTACAGCAATATTTTTTCTATACAACACATAATATAGTACTTTAGAAAACAAGGAGGATTTTTGAAAGGCGACATATCACATTAAAGGATACAATCTCGAAAGCCATCTCGCGTGCACGAGAATGGATTACGGCTCAACCTCCAGCAAAACCTCAAAGTCATCACACCAGCAATCCATTGATCATACCCGACCTGGATGATCTAATTGTTTGTTATTCCAACGCTGCATGGAAACATGGGAACAACTTAGCGGCATTTGGATGCATTTTCACGAACAAATATAGGATAACCATCTTTCAAGAGACCCGAGTGGAAAAAAACGTTCCTTTACCGCTGGTAGCGGAAACCTTGGTACTACGATGGACTCTCCTCACAACTCTCTCCCGGAACTACCTTAAAATCTGCTTCAATACAGATTGTCAATCACTCTTAGCAGCGCTCACAATCAAAAGCTCCTCCGGCTGACCTCTATGGGATCATCCATGACGTTGATCATCTATCTTTATCTTTCCACTCTGTTTCTTTTAAGTTTCTTCCTAGACTTTTAAAATTCTGCAGCAGACACAAATTAGCTAAATATGCACTTTGTATTGCTACCTCTTCTTTTTCCTAGCTGCTGGATATTTGATATTTGAAGTAATAGATATGTGGTGTTAAAAAAAAAGGAAAACAAGGATGATATATCTTTTTCAATTTTTTTACTGTAACTTTAAAAACTAAATAAAACATGATTGATATATAAATTTTATGGTTGTAGATAAAACTTAAAACTAAAGTTATTAGCTACATTCCAACCAATCATCCCCAATATTTAATAATTAAGCTCTGGATTGATTTTTAAAACTCACATCTTGTTTTCCTTTCTCCTTTCTTGTTTGGCTGTAGACATTGATTTTTCAACCCAAAAAAAAAGTGATTTGGAAATTTATGAATAAATTTGTGAATTTTATTATACACAAAATTACAACAAAAATCTTACAGTTATAGCAGAAAAATACACAACCTTAATTCTACAGTAACAAAAACTAGAAGCACGACTTAAACCAATCAGACCCTTTGTTTTTCTTTTTCATCGTCCATTCCTTACATTTTTGGTAGGGTTGAAGTCTCTCAATTCTCAAGAACAGACCTAATTACATATATGAAAATCGTATAACATGTTTTAGCATGCTATGGTTAATTGATTTAAGTTTACAGCTTTATATGTAATGCTAATAACTTTGTTAATATATAATACTATATCAAGTATTAAAGTATGCTTCTTGACAAAGAAAAAGAAGAAAAACTAACTG